AAAGATAAGTGACAGAGATGGAATGGATAGTAAAATAAAGGAACAATCTTTTTCTTTTTAATTTTTAATTTTAATTAGAGTTTGTCCATGTTGTAGTTTTTTTATACTAAATGTAACTTATTATAGATAATATATAGAGGTTCGGTTTTTATTTTAATATGATTTAACATAATTTGTTACTTATATAATTTTAATAAATAAATTAATTAATTAAATTAAGATTAATAATTATATTTTTTTATATCATTTTTTTAAATAATTTATAATTATTTACATGGTTAATTGAAAGAAAGAGAAAAGGAGTTTCGTGAGGTTCAAACGTGCAATACACAGAGATAAACAATTTTAACTCAAGTTTAATACCATTGAACCGGAATGAATAGTTCTTCTATATCATTTAATTATAAAAAAGAAAAAAAAAAAAAGAAGTAAACATTGACCTATCAACCTGCTAGCATTAATTACCTTAATAGTTATATCTCTCAATCCGTTAAAGTAGCATTCGATACCCCATACTCTCATTTTAAATCTGTTAAAAAAACAAAAATAATAACTCCAGTATGTGATCTGGTGGGTCGCATGTCTTAATAAAAAAAGTAAAAAATTACTTATTTTAGGGATCAAAATTTTAATTGTTAATAATTTTTAATCTAACTACTAACTATTATTCTTATAAAAAAAATCTGTTAAAAAAATTATAAAAAAGTAAAATAATTATATTTTTAATTTATATAATAAGTGCAGATACTGCAAAAATCATTTAATATAAGCGGGAGAGATTTAAAAATCATTTAATACAAGCGGGAGACATTTAAGTCAACGTAATAATCTCTAAAGTTTACTATTGTGGGAGTAATTTGAACCATCTTTATCAAATTTATTATCTCTAACTATTTAATTTTAGTCTTAATTAACTATATATATAAAGAATTACTGAAACAATAAAAAATTTAAAAAAATTTTCAAAAAATAACTTGGATCCTAATTTTCAAACTATCAATAAGTTAACTAACCTAAATGGCATTTCCGGTAAAGAA